TTTGTATGATATTGTCAATGGTGTAAAACAATAAATATGGTACCTTGTAGTTTAGGAACTCATGATTGTAATTTTCTTAAAACATTTTCAATGAATCACACATTAAAAATGTTATGAATTGACAAAATAATGATTTTGATATTTCTCCATTGCACAGTATTTTAGTTAGTAGACACAACAATGAAAGCAAATTCCTGAAGTAATTTTTCACAAAAGTATTTTCTTATAGCGTGTTTCAGGAATGTGTTTTAGCCACATTACACTTTACAAATGTTTTTTATCATGGTCGCAAAGGGGCACCATGTCATGTCTCTAGTTTTTGCTGTTCCACCGATCAAGTGTTGGAGGCAATAACATGCCATCAACTCTATTGTTAAAAAAAAACGTTTACTACATTTGATATGCACGTCATTACAGAGGATTCTATTCAACATGTTGGATCTTAATGATTCACACATTGTGAATGGATAAACACTGAATGTAAAACATATTTTTCGTTGACAAGAAAACCTCATAAGGAGGCTGATCTTGTGTAAGCGATTGGACATTTATTTCTGCGTAATGGAACTGAAACGGAAGTTTTGGTGGCTTCTTGCATGGGAACAGCAATGGTTTATAGTAAGCTTGAACCAATGGTAAACATTATGTTAAGTATCTATATATTAAGCTCCCCAGTTGGTGAAGTGAGTTATCAACAAGGTTGGGGGTTTGATTATTAAACTCCTGACAGCCTTTCATAGTCTCTTTGAGCAAGACACTGCACCCCAAACTTCTCCCGATGTTTAGGCTAGTGTCATTCATGACAGCTCCACCACCATCAGTGTGTGTGGGGTCATTTTACCAATTATTGTGTGACTGAGATATGACAGAGTGGTGAATGAACACGATGGAAAACAGAATCAATACAGTACATGGAGATCCCAGGTACAAAACTCTTTGTTGCATTTTGGCCTTTATTTGACAAGACAGTGTGAATATGGGGAGGTGAGATAAAGAGAGACATGGGTATCGGTTTATCCCGCAAAAGGGCATTTAAAGGCAGCTAAAGTGGCGTTGAGGCTTGCCCTTTGCGTCCAAACATATTGTTCTAGCGACAACAGGGCTGTTTCTTTAAACCTTTTGACAGTTTTATAAATCCATTTGATTTGATAATGGAATTTGTATTATTTATGATTCTGTGGCAGTCGTGACAAAACTGCAAGTTTGCCACAGTTGGCCATTGGAAGCAGAAACACTCCACAGAATCACTCATGAAACATATGGTAGAGGTTTGCATTTTGGGCAAGGGATGGACATTCTTATCAGACAGCCTTGGTTAAATCACTGATTGTGTAAAAAGCATCATTATTTAATGCTACGGCAGCTGGTCTGGTGTTATTGTGCGTGCCTGCTACGCGGTGTGTTGTTTTTATTCTGCTTTTTTCACAGACTGCACTAAAGTGTCACTTTAAGCTTTTCCAATTTTAATAGAAGGTGTTGTGTTACATACAAGATGGTTCCCTTTCTCCTGTGTTTTGAAACAGTAAGTTTATTAGTTAAAGTGCTGGAATTTTGCTGCATATCTTATTTGAATTGATATCAGCCAGTGAAATATATTAACTTGTTACATTGGAGGCATTTTTATTTTAACTTCAATCAATCAATCAATGTTTATTTATATAGCCCAATATCACAAATGTTACATTTGTCTCAGTGGACTTCACAGTTTAATATCCTTCTTAGGAATTGCAGCTTTTTAATATGAAAATGTAAGCTTTGGTTTATGATTAATATTACTCTGTGGAAACACCTGTACACAATCTTATTCTCTAACTGAACTGGGAATACTTAATACTACATTTAGAAAAGCAAAGTCCTATGTTTTAGCTAACCATATATCTGTGGGGTATAATCTCAAATGCATAATATTAGTCTGACTTCTGCTTGTTGTGTCAATTCATGTTTACGCTGGATTTATTTGAGTTTGGAGTTGCTGTTGTCTGAGACAAATTGAGAATCAGAAAATAAAATAAACATCAGCACACGACTTGTGTGGAACAGATTAGTGTCTCCCAAACAGAGGGAATCACCATATAATCACCACACGGATACTAATGGATATTCACCAAATACGTTTTTAAATTTTAAATTTCTTTCATTCTGCATATCAAGAACTGATTATAGTCTGAAATATTGCAGCGACCTTGGGGGTCTTGTAATGAATGTAACTGTCACCGGTCTATTAGCAGTTACATTTTCTCATAACACAAAAATAGATTATAGTTACTGTCTAAAACTAACCCCAGTTCACTCTTGGTCTGTAAATGCCAGTGGCCTCTGAAGCTGTGCCTGTGGAATGTAAACAAACAGCATGAAGAGCGAGGTCAACCTCCTAATGAGGGCCGCCGTGGAACTCGGAAGAATAAGTGGCTGACAGGAAGAAGCTCAATGGGGATAAAGGCCAGAGGTGAAGATGCATAAAAAAGAAGTTTGCCATGCTGGGATTAAGAAATCCTAAGCATTTCTTATAGTGGAAGTTCATTTTGACCAGGCCCTGTTGAGATATTTAGTTCAGAACAAGAATAAATCTCAATATGAAATTTAGAGTTTGAAGTGGTGCCATCAGAGAAATATTAAGGAATAACATACTCCAATTCCACAGTAGTGACACTTGTGTTTGATTGTACAGAACCAGGATTTACTCCACATGTTGCCACCACTGTCTGCAATGCTGCTGCATTTTCCTCAAGGTCTTAGTGCAAGCCATCTTGTGGTTCTCTGACTGAAGATATGATCAAAAGTGGTGTCCCTTGTATCTCGGCATGCTGGGTTCTCATGACCAGATCACATGAAGTCAATCTGCACTTCATTCTTCATTCAAGGTCGGCATTTACAGATACTAGCTGATCTGCATTCCAGTCCCATGTGTTTTCCTTGTGTACACTTTTGTGTAAGTTGTCACTGATAAGGATGTTTGATTTTGCCAAGTGCCGACCTGGTGAAATGGCATATTGTTTCATAACCAAACTTGCTTTATTGTAATATTTTAGTACGACACTACCTGGCATGCTCTCAGGTGCATAGTTGAGCTTGTACTAGAGTTAAGCTTCTCCTGCAGTCGATTAACCTTTTCATACAGTTTCAACAGCTGTGAATGAAAGGCGAAACTGCTGTGCACTTGTCTTTTTGCCAAGGCTCTTACACTTCACCTTCAGTCATCCCACACCACATATACACGCTGTTCCTAGCAGAGACTGTTTACCCATCTCCAGCCTTGCAGTGTGAGTCGAGCAGTTATGGGTGGGAGGGGGCGACATAAGCCGAGGATCAGCCAACCTTCCCTCACGCTCTGCACGTAGCACAACCATTAAAATACTGCTTCCTCTGGAGGGAGGCCAGGAGTCAAAGTTTACAGCAGTTTCCTTTTCCTCTCTTTCTCTCTTCTGCTCCAGCCCCACCCCTCTGCTTCTTCCGTCTGTGCACCTCTTTCTCTCTCCCTCTCTTTTACACCACACAGACACACGCACACTCACAAGAAAGCTTACTCCGTACTTGTGTCTTACCGACAGTAAGCCCTTGTCAGTTTGACTCCCCACCCCCTTCATCCTTATGTTGGAGTTGTGTTGCTTTGAAGGCCCTGATATTGTGCGGCTGCAGTGTTGCTGCATCATTCAAAAGGACGTGAGCACAATGTGGACTGACGCAAGCAACTATGGTCAGATGAGCAGGAGAATAACAATCAGACGTATATGTGATTCTTTTCACTAACTGAACTTGAAAATAATGTCCACGTTCAGATTTTGCAATACAGTTATTCTATAGGACAGTAAAATGTACCTTTCCAGAAGTATGAAGTCCAACAGATTTCGATTAATTATTCAGCGATTTTGTTCAAAACTGCAATCCAAAGATTTTGAAATGTAGCGCATCATATCGTTCGTCTGCAGACAAGATAGCTGCTCAAGATACAAACACAGAAAGCAGGACATTATTTCACTTGGCACGAGGACCAAGTAAAAATAAAAGTTTAGTCTGCTGTGAGTGTTTATAATAATGTTGCTATGCTATCGTTTATGTGATCCAAGTACAAGGAAATGTGGAGGAACTTGCCTTTTGTTTGTCATATCACTGCTTAGAAGCTGCGCAATGAGGGCTAAAACCTGCCCTCTGCATTTGTGCACGTTCGCCACTCACCTCGGATCCCCTTTCAAGTTAGAAAACCACACACACAGTTGCATGGTGTCACACAAGTGTTGCTTGTAATTGCCAGTGCTTATAGTCCAAAATGTTATATATAATATACAATTGTGCAGAGTTTTAATTATTTCGGCCAGTGCAAGAAGCAAGAATCAGATGGATTGTTTTTCTTTTCAAAATGTACTGTTCCATGAAGTTCTAATTTCAAAGAAAAGTCAGGGGGATTTCTGTCACAGTCCCTCCAGGCAATGTGCGAGTCAACCACTCGTGTGTGTGTGCGTCTTATTTGCCTGAGGGACTTTCTACGCTGTTTACGACAAGAAGTTTACAGAGCTCATAGGGGTTCGCTGCCAACACCCAGGCAGATCATGCAAGTCTTAATAGAGGCAGGAAAAGGCAAGGGGAAAGTTGACGTGCTGCCTGATATCTCCGGTGTATTTTCTCAATAGTTGTAAGTTTATAATGGAGCAGCTGGGTTGTAAGCGACCACCGCTTGTATCAGTCTTGGTGCAGGTGAGGAGAGGAACAATGCCATCTGGCTGTGCCAAGACTGTCTGCTGCATCCACGTCACAGGCCCACAAAGAGCAATCTGAGCTGCTTCCACTGCTCCGGGTCTGACTGCGGGTAGTGCTACACTGGCAGCAGCATTAGACATAAGCAGACACGATTTTAATGCAATCTTCAATGTTCCTTCTTCATGTTCATAGCAGTACTTCCTGTTTCATGACAAAATGTATGATGTAATGATCTAGAAGTTGAATGCATTGTGCTTTCTGTGCATCTGTTTTTTACTAATCATGCTTTTTTTTCTTCTTGACTTCAGGCAATGGTGGCATGTTACCCTGGAAACGGCACAGGATACGTGCGCCATGTGGATAACCCCCAACGGCGACGGACGCTGTGTCACATGCATATATTACCTTAACAAAGATTGGACTGCCAAGGTATGTGAGTGTGAGGAGGAAATGATGGTAATTAGAACTAGATGATGATGTGATTAGATTGGCTTATTTCTCATTTGCTGTGTTTGAAAAATGTATTCAATTATGATTTGAAATGATCAGTGAAACCAAAAAATCAAATGAAAAGGCAAACAGGCCATGTGTATCCTGTTCACTTTCCAGTTGGTCTTCCTGTCATAAGCTTATGACAAGTCAGCGTAGTTCTTGTCTAATGGCATTGTGGTTCTTCCTCCATCCTGTTTTTTATTCAGACACCGAGCTGAGTCAGCAGTAGAGGTTACGTGTCAGGACGTGATCATTTTCCCTGTTTGATAATCTCATTAATATGCTGAAATATGCGCACCGCTGCTAGGGGGCGCCAGCCAGGTACCAAAAATGTGTAGTATTATGTTACTGTATGTTCAATAAAGGTGTATTTTGCTAAATCTTGAGACATTGCCACTGTATGTACTAGGCCTCAAGAGCCTTTCTTGTGCTGGCAGACACATAGAAAAATATTGGCAGGGCGCACTTCGCACACACTAAAAAATTCCACACGCTCCGCGCTCACATTTTGCTGGGCCCGCGTGCCTTAGCACCGCTGCTATGATTCCATCCTAGGGGAAACACTGTGCAGAGATCACATACAGATTTGTTGCAAAGCCAGCCTTACCCAAGGATGCTACACTTGGAAAAAAGGGTATTTTCAGAGGTCCAACCGAACCATAGCACTTAAGAATAGGCATAGTGCTGCTCGATTATTGGCAAAAATCATAATCACGATTCTTTTGGTCAATATTGATAGTCACGATTATTAAATAACGATTATTCATTGCCTTGAAAAACATTCATTTATTGAACTTAAAAAAAAAAAAAAGTTTGAACAGTATCTTTAACAGTTGATTACCTTGAACTTGAAGTATAATTCAACTGAAAAACCAATAGAAAACTAAATAAAATAAATTATACATTTATATCTACATTTAAATAAATAATATAAAAATAATAATACCAATAAGAAGATCAATAGACCGTCTACCATAGGTCTGTTGTGGTGCAAAGTATTCATCAGGTCGTATTCCACTTTGTGGTTGCATTTTAGATGGTTAAAGCAGAATGGTGGTGTTAGCTTAGGTGCCGACATAACCGTGTAACAAATCCTGCACTGTACCTTTTTTTTGTTCCACGTCGGACTGATTAAACCCAAAGTATTTCCAAACAGCAGGATTCGTTTTACCTTTCTTGTCACGAGTTGCTCTTGTTCTGCCATCTCCGCTCGCGCGAACTCACACAACTATGTCACTCACAACCTGGCCCAAGATGGCTTTTAGGGAGGGGGCGAAAGCGCACGCGCGGGCAGAATGTATAAAGCAAGACAAATTGAGAGCATCATTGCGAAAGGTAATGCAGCAAAATAATAGTTTTATTTCAATTACGTTGTTTCGTAATACGATTAAAATACGATTATTGCACAGCCCTAAATAGGCATTGCTAAGGTCTGTGTCTTTTTGGGCCGTTTTCAGTTTCAACTTTTCTTTGGTTGAATATGATTGTGTCCCGCTGTCAAGTAGAAGAAGGGTCAAGTCAGGGTCCAAGTCCTTGGTGTGTTTCTCAATCTTGAGTAAGCTGCTCCAGAGCCACTATTTCAAGCATACTACGTCATCGAGTGCCGCCGAAGTACGGTTCCAATGGTCCAGCATACTTGGAATTCTTACCGAGCCCGGCGTACTTCGTTTGAGAAATTTCGAGGCTGCACATGTGTAGACTCCGCGGTACTTAAAATCCCACAATGCTTTGCGCACGGACCAATTTCCTCAAATCTGTGGCGGAAGATAGTGTAAGGCGGGGCCTCTCATATGGACGCACACCTGCACACTTGCTCGCCTGTTCCACTCTTCGTTTTCCGAATGCAGGAAGTATTCTTGCCTCGCTTCTCGAAGAAAGACGCTCGAAGACATGTGCTACCAAGCAAGCGTACTCTGACATTGAGAAACACCCCGTATCTGTTTGGGTCCAGCATACATTTTTGGACCCATGATAACCTCTACCTGATGGCACTACCATGTCATACAGCAAACCAGCACTTGTGGAGGGGACTTTAATACCTGTGCCCTTTCTCCCAACCTCTGGCTTTTCAAACCCCATTGCTTTTGTGTCAAAGTTGCAAAAAGGGTCAACTGCAGGAACCGAATCGACCCTACTGGACACAGCATGGGATTGAAAGATGAAGGTAATTTGTACCACAAACTCACCTTCTCACCAGAGATTATCATGGCCACTCTCAGCCTTTATCTGATTCTGTGGTCAGCGTCGCAAAGGGCCCTATACATCACACAACTGACAGGGCCACGGGAGGATGCAGTTGTTGAACGTACTAAAGCAAAACGCTAAGGAACTCTGATCCAGCGGGTGCATCGGGACAAAAGAGCTGGAGAAAATGAGTGATCATTTCTTGTGGCCATGTCAACCACCAGGCTGCTGAATGGGATGGGAGTCAGAGAACGCTCCCTCCATTAGGCCATCAAGTCACTTGACGGATGCTGCCAGGCAAAAAGTGACGCAATTACCCCCTACACCTAGGGCTGCTCGATTATGACAAAAATCATAATCACGATCACTTTAGCCAATATTGATATCACGATTATTCATTGACTTTGAAAACATCCATTACGTTAAAAAAAAAAATAATAATTTGAACAGTTTGTTTTTAACAGTTGAATACCCTGAACTTTAAGTATAATTCAACTGAAAAACCGATAAAACAAAATAATTATACATTTAAATAAATAATATCAAAATAATAAATACCAATAAAGAAGATCAACAAATATTTTGGAGCGCACTTCCACAAGCTACTAAACATATATAAATATGATGACTAATGTCACTCACTGCTACACGCTACACGCAGTACTCTTATTTTGGTAACCCCTTACCGGAAACAGGAAGTAGCTAAGAGGCTCCGGCTTGACGAGGTTAGTGAAAGTTGACCGAACGCTAGAGACCGGAGAATAAAGACACGGCAACTAAGCTTCCCTTGTAGCGTGTTTATATGGATTTATTAAACAGACTGCAGTCACAACACAACCTGGCCGAGAGGGCTTTTAGGGAGGGGCGAAAGCACATGCGCGGAAGGATGTATGACGCAAGACAAATTGAGAGCATCATTGCGAAAGGGAATGCAGCAAAATAATCGTTTTATTTCGATTACGTTTTAGTAATCGTTGCAAGCCAAAATCGTAATCGAGATTAAAATACGATTAATTGCACAGCCCTACCTACACCTCTTAATAAGTGATTGCCAATCACAAAACAGGCATTTAACCTCTATGCTTTCTGACCAAATTAGCATTTAAAACTATTCTGCTACTTTTTTGCACTTTGTTTTGGTCAAGAATCATTCATATAATGGTCAAATATATATTTAATTTTGAAAAAGGTTCTCAGAATGTGATTACCTAACCTAGCGCACTTAATGTGAAAGGATGAACTTAAGAGCACAAGCTTACTAAACAAAATGTTCACCAATTAGTTTTTAGCCTCAGACCCCCGCTGGGCTCCACATGTCTCACGACATGCATGAAGGAAATATAGGTTACCTTATAATGTGCTTCAGGTGTCTAACGTACATGTTGTAATTGTATTGGTTAAGTAAGTCACCTTGTGAATACGGGCGGACTAACAGGATGCTGCACACCAGGATGCTGCACACCAGGAAGCAGCGACATTCTTTCTAAGGGAAAGCAGCAACTGCAAGGTGGGAGGATGGCTTTCATGCTTCTGTGAGGAGCCAGCCTCATGACAAGACACATAACTAGACAAGAGATTGTATTCCAGACTTCCTCACATACTTGACCTCCAGGCCTGCATATGGAAATGACGTAGATACAGGAAACTCTGTTTTGCCTCCTGATGCTAGTTTGTGAGAGTGTGAGACCATGTCTTCTGTCTGAGTGCCACTAAACAGAGGATGAACATTATTAGCTCTCATCAAACAATCAGTAAAGGCTAAGATGAAGATGATGAGACAAAATAACATAAACCCCTAATTTAACGTTGACAGCATAATCACTTGGCTTGTTTGGCGTGTATAAGGTGTTTCATCTTGCTACGTAGACAGGGGTGTTGAAAATAATCGTTTCTACAATGCATTGCGATGCGGACGATTCGGTATCGATGCAGTGACGGAAGATAATCGATTATAGCGTAGTAACGTTGCTTCCTGATTTTCCGGCCGCGGCTTTACTATAACGTTTTTTTTTCTGTCACTTTAATATCAAATCGGTCGCTGACGCAGAGATCAGGGAACATACGTGACAGCGGCACAGCAACACCAAACACGGAGCAGTCTGCTTTATCCACCAACACAAGAACACCAGTCCAGAACCAACAGCAGAAGGACCCGCTCTGAATCACTCCGTGTCGCTGCGGCTCAGAGACACAAGGATTTATGTTTTTCAAAAATAATCGCGTTACAATCATGTCAGGTTTTTGGTGGATTTAATTAAGTCTTGGATTGCAGAGTATGAATGTCCTCTAGCAATTTTCAGACGATATATACGTGTGTAAATTTGTGAAGGCAGGAGGAAAAAAGCTTCCGCGATCACCGTCTCCTCTCCGTTCCTCCAAACCCCGCCCCCTCCCTGAAAATAATGAGTGACAGGCTGATAGTGACCCGATAGAAACTTTATTATTCACTCAATCACTGATTGAGATATAATGAAGCTAACCTAATCTCATACATTCATGGGATTTATGTAACAGTAAGACAGAGAATGTAAGTGTGCACCCACATGCACTATTTTTGTTTGTATATGCTATTGTAAATACTCCTGTTCTCTGCTGTGTTCAGACTCAAGTCCTGTGTGTGATGCCACATTCAAGACATTCAGTGTCCTTTTTTTAACAGAAGACCGTTGCTAGAAGCTGCAGCTAGACTGCAGAAGTATTAGTTTTTGTTTTTGAGGATGGAACAACTTCACACACAGATATAGGGAGGCTAG